GCTTCTCATCCAAAAACTTAGCGATAAGTTCAGCTCGCCGATTCTGAAAAACAGACGAGTATAAGAAGTAAATTACTTGGGGGCGCATGCTAATGTGCAAACTTGAAACTTCTATAATTAATACGGTGAATCACTACTGAGCAGAATGGTAATGTGAACTTTTGTCAAAAGGATTCTTGATATTACGAAGGAAAACTAGTGCTCAAGACTAGAGTTATGACCAAATACTGGATAAAATTGGTCAAGACTATTTTGTATTCGAAGTGATGAACACTAGCAACAACACAACTGCAATTAGTTTCAGCGCCCCAAACAGAAGCCCGATATCGAAATTAAATTTGACAATTATACCCAGTGCCCACAAATGTTTCAACAAAAAATATTGTAGCAATACAGTGGATAAAGAGCAATGATAATCTCTAGATTGCTATAAAGCCCACAAAATTCAGCAATGTAATTATAAGGTTGACATTTCCAAAATAATCAGGATGTTGCTTTTATTTGAAAGTACAAATTTTAGCAAAAGATGGCAATAATCAAGCAAATAAATATTCAATACCTGGCGAAGATTTATCAGATGCTCAAATGAATCTTTGATGGTGTTGCCAAATGATTCATTCTTGCAAAAGCTCTCTTCCCATACTATATCAAGAGAAGCCTTGAAGTCCAATAGTGATTGTACCATATCTTTGTCTTTCTCTTCATCCATAACGATCTTATGCCCAGTTTTCCGAATGTAGGAACTTAGCGCCTGCCTCAGAGACTCAAGTGCATTGACCCTAGAAAACAGGGTGTACATCCTCTGGAGGTCCTCCGTACGACGTCCATCCATTAATGGTGAGAAACCCTGGAAGTGTTTAGAGATAAAATAAGCTTTAGCAAATCAAAATTTTTGCACACAACCAAAAGGATGACGAGAGATAAACCTTATCAATAACAGCAAGTATATGACGCTCGAGAAGTTGCTTTTCGATAGTTGCTATCAACGGTTTCCTGGTTCCTGCATCTATGTACAGTATGCATCTTTCATTCTCTTCATGCAACCTTCCCTGCACCAATCACCAGTAGAAACCTTAGAGAGACCAGATCAACTTATAACCTGTACTGCAGCTTATCATTAGGATAAATTATATGAAGTCATGCAAGGCACCTCGACATGCTTCAGGTACTCGGCAACGTCATACTGCTGCATGTATTTCATTCCTTCAGCAGCATAAAATTCAGAAGTGCATTCAAGGAAATGTTTCTCAAAGCTTTCCGTATATATTCCCAATGAAGTAAACATCTTTAAAAGATGGCTTAGTAGTGTCCTATTAACAGCTTCAGCTAATCTGCAGGACCAATGTCATGCAAGAAAGGTCAGTACATTCAGGTGAAAACATTGTCTAATATATAAATGACTTACAATAGTGCTCATTTGTCCTGAGATTTTACCTAGAAGGCTATAACTAAATATCACTGCAAGACAGAAATAGTTCACAGACCGTCCAAAACTTCAAATGATTCACTCAGAAGCAAGACAACTAAGGCAAAGGGTGGCTTTGTGAAAATAAATTCCCAATATGACAAAATTAACATTGCTTCTTATATTTTTAATTTTAAAAGACCTGAATTAGTACAAAATTACCTTTCCTTTTCAATCATTCTTAAGAGAGCAGTAACTGTCCTCTGCTCAACTTCAGGGGACAGAGCGAGATGCTTCCGAAAAAGTTGTAGGCCCATCTCCCATAATGAACGTACATTTGGGTTTTGTATCACATATTTCCGATCCAGAGACAAGGCTATGCTACGGATCATTAGCATCTGGTCACAGAAATCTTGCCAGCAGTTCTCAACAAGCGACAAGAAAACAGACAGATCAGTGTCTTGGCCAACTAAAGATTGTAAAGCTGCAGAAATGTGTTCTTCACACTCCTTTTCAATCCGTTCGTAAAGCTTTCCTTCCAGCTTATGCAAGCAAAGATTATCAACAGCCTAACAAAAAAAAAAGTCAACATTTTTTTCATCAGTAAAACATTCTCACATTCGACAAGAAGCGCCCTACAAAAGAAAGCTAGAAAATTTACAAGTAGCCTTACCTGGTAAAGCCTCTCGAGATCAAAAGAAACAGGCTTTTTCAGGAATATAGCTCTAATAGCTGACTGCAGCTTTTCCCAGGTAATCTCTTCAAAGTTTGTTGGTAGACTCGGTTTGGCTTCAATACAAACGATACAATCAGAAACCTTTAAATTACAAAAAAATGGTTTTTATCCACATCCTCACAATTGCTATAGCCAATCTACTAATGACGATTCTCCATAATTCTCAAGATTTTTTTCAATGGCAAACCAATCTTCATTGAGAAAGAAGACAACTAGATTGTACATAACAAAATTCCGGATCTTAAACTCCCAGATCAGCTAGACAAAGAGACTCAGGCTCTAAGAAAAAGCAAAAAAAACCTTATCACTCATCCACATCAAAATCAACAGTGAGACTCGATTTACAGTGAATTCCGCTGCAATCTAACACTAAAAACCACACAAAATCCCCATCAATCGCAAGTAATTATCCAGCAAGCCTATATAAAACCCTAAAATCGAGAAATCTAAGCTACTAATAAATCGTAAATAGAGTCCATTTCCAATTAATCAAAAGCATCCATTTACATAATATCCAAATAAATCCTAAGATTTTTCGAATAAAATTCCGATTACGATCAAAAATCGCGCGAATACCTTTATTGAGCTTGATGACGAGCTTCTTACTAGGCTGGGGGAGTGTAGCTTTCTTCCGAGAGAGATTCGCGGCGGCGGGAGTTGCATCATCCTCCATGGGGAAGCCAACCTTGTCGGCGGCGTTAGGCTGAGAGGAAGGAGTGTGGAGGCCGTTCTTGGCCTTTTTCATCGGAGGGGGAGAAGAGTAAGAGGAGTCGGTGGAGGCAGGAGAAGCGGAGGAGCAAGTAGAGCGTTTGGTTGGAAGAGACATGAAAAAATGGGTGAGAGGATCAAGAGGAAGAAGATGAAGAAGAAGAAGACATGTCCCAATTAACCCTTTCAAAGAAAGCACTGTGCTCTCTCTCTCTCTCTCAGACCTACGCGAAATTCGCGAAAATAGACCGAAAAAATTTTAGAACAATTTTGATATTAACCATGTGCAGAGATATATACTGTATATGCTTAATTTACATTTCCTAAAATGATTAAACTTATACTATAAAAATTATATGATAAATTAAATAATATGATTGATCTACATTTTCAATTATTTTTCCAAGTTGGTTTCGATTTGTACCAGTTCAAAATAATATATTTTGATAAAAGAATAAGAAAGCATATTAAAGTATTTTTCAAAAGTATGATCCAATTAATTTTATAAGTTGATATATTTCTTAGAATTTGATATAACCATATAAACTTATAACAAAGTAAGAATTTTTTTTATTACTTTTTATTGAATTTTTGTGAAATCATATCTAACTTATTTTTTTATTGCGTCAAAAATGTATAGTGTTTGTGTTTACACAATGCACTTATTTTTTTTTTTTAAAAAAAAAAACAATACATGTGATAGTTGATCAAAATGTGTTATTGACACTGTGAAAAAAATTTCGTTAAGCCTAACTGGTTCTAAATGTAAGTGTGTTATAAGTTCTGAACTGTTGAATTTTCGATTAATGGAGTGACGGTGTTGAAAGACATGAACGAACATAGAATCGTGAATGGAGATGAAATAGGTGATATCATTGAAATGTGTCTTATTAGAGTCTTAGAGAAGGGGAAGCTTTTGAAAGCTAAGGAGATTATTTTTGACCATATGATCGATGTTATGGATAATCCACTACTTGGTATGGAAATATTACATTTTTTATATATTGGTGTCTGAATTTTGTACTAAGAGGAGTGTCGATGAGGCAAAAGAGATGTTCGATACTTTCTTGACCATGAAATTATTTCATCGATCTTCGTATGCATTGAATATTTGAATGTTCCTTCAGATGGATATTTCAAGTCGAATGGTGTTAAATTATGGTTTGATGGTCATCGTTACCACGCTTCTTTGTTTCCTTTTATTCTCCACCGTGAAACGTAGTTTACCAGTTTAACAATGGTTGTTCAAATTAAGGCCCAAACAAACAAAAAATAAATTCATACTCATACAAAAGCAAAAATCTTTTGTTGATCTTAAAATCCTTTTTTTCTGTTACATTACCATTTAAAAATACTTAAACAAATTACTTCTGACAAATGAAGATGTTATCACTAAAAAAACTGACCAAAACTAACTTTATGTAACGCTTGAAAACACAGCAAACCGGTTTCACAAACGACTACACAATAAACGATTCTTCTTTCAACACGCTTATCATGGGACAATTTTACTCATAATATACCGAACTAGGACGATCGGTTCTACGTGTGGCACGTTATTTGCATATTAATCTGTTTGACAAAAAAGTAAAATACATTAAAAATGTTTCAACTTTCAGCAATGTCGACTTATCTTATCTCATATATGAAGCTTGAGTTTTGATTCACTTAGCATTAGAAAAACAAAAATCTATAAACTTTTTTTGTGTTGAAACTGAATTTTTTTTTTTAATTCGAAACTATCCGAATAAAAAACATATAATTTGGATCATAATCTTCAGTATGATTTTGGCATGGTTAATAAAAAGGAACTACATATTGTGAATCTCTTCTGCACCGTTTGAGAAATCATTACAAGACTGAAGAACTGAAAAAACTATTGCTTCATCATGTGGGCACATGAGGGAGTCATTGAGGAATATCTCAGTTTTTTTTTTTTTTGTTAATCTTCCTCCCAAAATTCACATCGTAATAATATAGAAATCCTACGCAAAATATAGAAAAAAAAAAGATTTTTAATTATTTTATAAAGATTTTCTACTTTTCCTAAATAACAAATTATTATTATTTTTGTCAGTAACGCTTTACCATAAAAAGCTGCTGAAGTTTCTAACTTCCAGTTTTATCCATCAGCACAAACTCAAATGAAGATCCTCCTTTCCTTCTTCTCCACCTTCAAACACTAAATGCCAAAGAATTTTTTTTTTAAAAAAAAAACACCAAAATGAATCATAAACCATAAATCTTCTTCTCCGATGGGAAAATTCATCAGCGTCACCGCATCTCCGCCTCTCTGTGTCCGATCAAAGCTCCTCTGTTTTTCACTTCTCTACTTATTCACCACACTTTCTCTGTTTCTATACGTCTCTCTCTCAAGAAACCAATGCGTCTTTCGATACTCACCGTTCGATCCGATTCAAACCAAAAATTTCTCTTATCCTTCTTCTTACGGTGAACACAAATACGCTCTTCCCACTCACCGATCTTCTTGTTCTTCCCCTGTTTTCTTCTCAGGTAATTAAACTTAACAAAATTCATCAAATTCTTCTTTAGTTTTTTTTTCTTTATTTTTTGATAAATGTTCTGAGTTCCTTTCGGAATGCTTATCAGAATCGAACATTGTTATTTGCTTTTATTAAAGAATTTTATTTGTTGTTTAAAACCAAAAAAAAAATATTGCTGTTTTATTTGAATCAGATTACTGGACTGTTTTGAAGGAGATACAGAGTATATGTAGCGATTCATCATCATCATCATCATCGGAGAATTTGAGATACATTAATGGAAAAAGTGAAACTTTCGGTGGTAATTTCAGTGCCCAGAAGAGATTTTCTTATTTCAATCATTCGAAAAATGACGTCGAAGTCCCGTGCGGCTTCTTCAGAGATTTTCCGATCAGCAATTCCGGTGAGATTTTCATCATTTAGGTTAAAAATCAACCGGTTGAACCAGTAACCGGATTATGAAATATAGCTTAATTATCCAACAATATATCCTTATAATTTTATTTAGTCAAAACATAAACCGGATCATAATATTTTTTTGTTTGCATCTTTAGTGTCTATGTTGGATTGGATTTTCTTTGTTTTCAATGATTCTACTAGAAATATTTTTGAGAATTTATTTAATTCTTAAATCATTTTTTGAGATTTTTTACCACATCGCATTAAATTTTAGTTTTTATTTATCCCTCTATATATTTAACTTTATTTGTTCTCTGATTTGGTAGATAGAGCTGAGATGGAGAAATGTGGACTAGTAGTTGCATCAGCCATATTTAACGACCATGACAAGATTAGACAACCAGTGGGACTCGGAGTTAAAACCTTAGAAACCGTTTGTTTCTACATGTTCATCGACGATAAGACATTAAATTCACTCTATCACCACAATGTCATCTCAAAAAACAACAATCCAAGAGGTTCTAGAGTTGGAGCATGGAGAATCATCAAAATCTCAAAATCCGAAAGCCTATACGTTAATCCGGCTATGAACGGTGTTATACCAAAGTATCTAATACATAGATTGTTTCCAAGTTCCAAGTTTAGTATATGGATCGACGCAAAAATCCAGCTCATGATCGATCCTCTACTTCTAATTCATTCGATGTTAGTAGTTCCTGAGGCCGATATGGCCATATCTAAACATCCATTTTTTGTGAATACAATGGAGGAAGCGATGGCTACTGCGAGGTGGAAGAAATGGGGAGATGTTCAAGGGCTAAGGATGCAAATGGAGACTTATTGTGAGCATGGTTTAAAGCCTTGGAGCTCTCATAAGTTGCCATATCCCACGGGTAATAAAATCTTCCCTAAATCATAACGAACAAGCTTTAAAATTATACAAATATTCTTTGCCCGTATTAAGGACGGTTAGGTAAGGTTTCATACAACATAGAATCTAATATAGTAATCTGAAAGTATTAACTATTGATTCTGTACATATATATACGCATAATTAATTAGATAGTGGAATCAAGACTCAATTGTGCAAGCTTATGATGATATTTATTTTCAAATTACTTTCTTAGACTTTAACTTTGTTTTCTGTGAAGCCATTTTCTTTTATAAAATTTTAAGGATGAGTGAGTGGTTTTTATTCATAACGTGTATTTTCAAAAAAAAAATTATTATCACAACTATTATATATACTATTAAAAAACTTGAAATTATTCGATTTCTTTTCAAGTAATGCTTTTGATATATATATATATATATATATATGGTCTAAGGTTGATTTTCTGTATAAATGTAATTCCCTTGTTAAATATGATAATAATATTGACGTAAACATCTTAAGAAAAACATATACCTTTCTTTGTCTAGAATGTTGGTGTGTACTCTTGTGTCTTTGCAATAAAGACTAAAGAGTCATGTCTTCTGCATGAAGATTGGCTTTAGTTGGTTAGGTTATGTTCTTTTTACTTGTGACTTTTCAAAATTGAAGCCACGGGTAATCATGAAAACCATGCTTTCAATTATTCAATTTGTAGAGATATAACTTGATCCTTTAGTAACTGATTTGTTATTATCAATATCATTATGTAGTTGATTATAGAAGCTCTGGAATATAGCATAAGAAAATACGATTACAAACAACAGAAAACATTTTAGGATCTAATGGATTACAAAACTAGTGTTTTTGCTTAACATCTTCTAGCTATAGATTTTTTTTTTCTTTTTTGACATATTCCTTTAAAAATAAAATAAAATCATAGTTTCAATCAAAGAATTGACGACGTGGTCCCATAATATAACACATCAATGAGAATATGAGATAGAGAAAGACATGTTATAAAATCAAGTGAGGGTCCCAAAAGCAAGTTGTTCGATGGTTTTGGTCTGTCTAAGTGAAGATTATTACGTCATTTAAAATGCACAGACATGAAAACGGACCAACTTGTATATTTTCATTTTTTATGTAGGGGTGATACTATTTTTTATATAGGTATGATAATATCTTTATAAGCTTATATTCATTCGATCTTTATGTTCTTAAAATTTATTATTTGTCATGTTAATTGTAATGAAAACTGATATTTGAATTCAAATTTTTGTTGATGTTTTGTGTTTAAATGACATTTGTTATTTTTATACTATTTAAATTAGATGTACCAGACAGTGCATTGATACTAAGAAGACACGGGGTAAGAAGCAACCTGTTCTCGTGCTTTATGTTCAACGAGTTAGAAGCGTTTAACCCGCGAGACCAATTGGCGTTTGCGTTTGTGAGGGATCACATAAACCCTAAGGTGAAGATGAACATGTTTGAGGTCGAAGTGTTTGAACAAGTAGTTGTTGAATACAGACACAATCTCAAGAAGATTGAGACATCTTCATACGAGCAACAAGAAGAAGAACAGAAACAAGAATCGTTGAGGACAATACAGAAGAGAAGAAAATGGTTAGATCATGAATCTTGGTCTCTTAATACTAGTAGTTGTAAGAGTTATCTCATGGATATGTGGGGTGAATCTCACCATTGATTTTCTTAAAATATACATATATTTTTTCTTTATTCATATGATTTTCATTAAATATAGGCTTACAAAGTGGTATTGTATATAAATATATATACGAAGTACGAAACGGTGATTTATTTCTCTAACTGTAATATGCTTCTAGTCCAATATATAATAAATATGATTATTTATGTTTTCCTAGTTAATTTTTTTTAATTAGAAGATGATATTGGTTGTTGATGAAGACATGTAACTAGCTAAGATGGAGAGCAATAATGTGTTTGATTTGGTGACATAATAGATTTAACAGTTTTTCTGTAGCATCCCTATCCCGGGCTCTTAAGAAATGGGGAACCGGGAATGTTAGATCGGCTATCAAATCGAGTTCGATAGGATATCCGATTTGGTGAGCACATCGCTAGGAAAACGCCCAGGTAACAATCAATAACATCGACTTTAGCTGATCTATCAACTACACCTGAAAGACAAAGGAAGAAGAGGGGTGTAGTTGATAGATCAGCCTAAGTCTATGTTGTTGATTGTTACCTGGACGTTTTCCTGGCGATCTAATATTCTCGATTCCCTGCCTCTTAAGAGCCCGGGATAGGGATGTTACAATTGGTATCAGAGCCCAGGATTAGATCACTTTAGCTCCGTTCTAAAGTCGTCGCGCCCGTTTTTGTTTTCAAAGAGAAAACTGTTTGTGAAAAACTTTTTTATTAAAAAATGTTTTAAAATATTTTCAAACCTAGAACAACCAACAACTTATAGACGCTGATCTAATAGATTCTCTTTTCCTTTTTCTTTTTTCCTTCCTCTTCTAGATTTGGGTATAGGACCAAGGAGACAGCCAGGAAGAGGACAATTGCTGCTATCCGGGTGACCCTACAGTACACTCATTGGAGATGTAATGAGGTGCATGAGGCATCTACAAGTGGACTGAACCAGGCTAGGAGAGCCCCTTCAGTTCCTACTCTGCAGCAGCCTAGTTCTGTTCATGCGCCTCCTTCTGAGAGCAAGCCAGCTGCTCAGCAAATGGTGGAGCATGGGCGATGCTGCTAATGCCTGAAGACATCAACAGCACCAGGAGCTCCTCCGGTGAACCCACTTGGTGGTTGGAGAGGGTTTGCCATCCAGGCAGACAGGACGCTTCAAGAATACCATCAAGATTTTGTTAATGCAATGGAGCATGCACCCGAGGCCTACACTGCTCAGAGTTTGCTAACTTCTTCTTCCAGGGTCTGCATTCCAACTTCAGGGCAATGATCAGGGAGATGGGCAGAGGCATAGGAAGTCGTGTAAGGGAAGTCTACAACAGAGCCTTGTGGGTAGAGAGATCCTTTCAGACTGGAAGGCCTGTCTACATCTCTTCTGACAGCAAAATGGATGAAGATGAAGATCCTTCCGAAGAAGACCCCTCTGAAGATGATCTTCTTGAAGATGCTGATAGTGATTAGGAAAAATTGTTTTCAGGAGTATAACTACTTACTCTTTATTTATTCTGTTCTATTTGATTGATTGATTGCTTTAAGATCTAGTTATTAGGACTTAGCTAGAGTTCTTTGTTGGTGTTTCCTAGTATTTTGTATTTTTAAAACTATATGTTCTACTCCTCATTTTAAGTTAATAAGAAAAAGGTTTTGATTTATTTCTAAAGTGTTTTAAATTGCATAATACCTTAAACTTTCCTTCCTACACGATTCTGTTGATCACTCTGCGTTCTAAACCCTTAGCCTTCAATTCCTTTTTGGCGCCATGTGTCTTATGGCTTCCCTTCTGCTTTTTCTTTCCTCGCCATTATCTTTTCTGGTGCCATGATTCACTTCTAATTCCTTTTCTGATTTTATTTATGAGTCCTTCTAATTCCAATCTGCCTTTTCGCTTGATTCCACTTCTAATTTTATTTTTACCTTTCCTTCTAATCCCATTTTTTTTAAAAAATTTCATTTACTGCTTCTATTTCCTGAGTTCATTTCTGATTTCCTTCTCTTCTGCGACCAAGCTCCTCTTGTCTTTTGCGCTTTTGTTTCTCTTGGTCTTTAGCCTTCGAAGTTTCTTTCAGGAACTTCTCTCTTAGGATTCGAGGACAAATCCTGTGTAAGGGGGAAGATTGTAACATCCCGACTCTTGGTTAACCAAAGATCGGATGTTACCAGTTTCCTAATTCTGGTTTTATTAAATTAAATCATCTCTATTTCCTTTTTCTTTTTATTTGGACCTTTTCTAATTCCTCTTAAGAACCCATTAAGCCTAGTCCACATATTAAACCTCCATATAAATACCTAATTAAATCCTTAAAACTTAAGAGCCCATTAAGCCCAGTCCACCTATTAAACCTCCATATAAATACCTAATTAAATCCTTAAAACCCTCATTAAGCTTCTAAACAACCCTAGCCACTTTTTTCTCTCATTCTCTCTTCTCTGCGCCGAGCTGCTCTCTTCCTCTCTCTCCCTGCGTTTTCTTCTTCTTTTTTCTCTCTCCTGGTCGTGTCTCTCTCTCTCCTTGCCGCGGCCACCACCATCCTCCAAGTCTCTCTTTCCGCTGAAGCTTCCTTGTCCAGCCAAGATGTCTGCGCCGCCTCCTTTGCCTCTGGTTGAGATGGGATCTGATTCTGATGGATCTCCTCTTAGATCTCCTTCTCCTCTGCCTCCTCCTCCAGTTTCTCAACCTTCTAAGCCAAGGTGAAGACTTTGTGGCTTCATCCTCTCTCATATATGCATGATTGACTTTTAAGTGGTCTTTTCTTAGATCTGGCTTAGATCTG